TACAGAGTCGCTTTGTGTTTTGTGTCCATTCGGCGTAAATGGAATCGCAGTCAGAAAGGAATTGTGAGAGCTTTACGATCGTCTAACAGAGAGAAATGATCTATAATAAAAGACATTAAACAAACGGATTTAAACAGCTCTGAAATGCGTTCCGATCCTTGCGCTTTTTTACTATTCTGTGCTATTGATCGCCCTCTGAAAACTTACTTGACAATTGTTAGTCTTACCCAAATAACTGGTTGCCATTGTTTTCATTTGATTTAAGAGCGTTCACTGACCTTCTGTGTTCGCCAAGTGTTGATTTGTCTGTACGATGGAATTTCTTTCCGCCCATCTCAAAAGCAGATTGCGATGAAAGAAATCAAGATGTAAGTGAGAGGTTATACATACACACTTTATTTAGAGAGGGTGCCACGGAATAGTTGAAGTAACTAATAAACTTGTGGCCCTCTATTTAAAAACTTCTAACAAGCAATGTATGTTGAATTCTAACACAACTATCAATAAAAACTAGGAATTTATCTAATAAGAAGACGAATTACGAGTAAAAATGAAATGTAAGTTGAGAGCAAATGATGAATCATATGTTAGACTATAAAATGATATAGTTTCTGTTGTACCTTAAGAAGGTTGTTTCTATAATTGTTCTTAAAAGATTCTAATGACACAGAATTCCTGAGTTCTAGACTTAAGCTATTCCAAAGGTTACAGGTAGTGACTGCGAATGATCTACCGCCTTCGGTCATACGATTAAATCTTGGACAAATAAAATTAGTGTTGCTATATCTTGTAGCACGATCATGTTTCTGACTATTAAGTATCAAAGAGCCTCCAGTATATAAGGGTACTTCACGCTTGATGCGTGTGTACGCAACGCAGTATTTAGCTATTTTAGATTCCTCATAAAAAAGGAGCCACTGAAGTCTGTTGAACAGCTTGACACTAGACGCTTGGTTGTCAGCATCAGAAATTACCCTGGCTGCTCGTTTCTGCAATCTTAAAACACGACCTGGACTCTCTTCGTTCCAGCTAGTCCAGATTGAGCTGACATAAAGCAGGACCGATCTAATCATCGAGTTAAAGTACAATAAACTTTGTGTCATGGGAAGACAAGATCGTATCTTTCTCAATATTCCGATTCGCAGGGACAGCTTTTTACATAGTTTCTCAACTTGGGAATTAAATGCTAGTTTAGAGTCAATTTCAAGACCCAGCAGTTTAACACTGGGGACAAGTTCAAGTTCAGTTCCATTGATAGTTAAAGCCATCTCGTAATTTATCTTTGAGGCGAGATGCTTACCAGTAATGAGTATAGCTTTGGTTTTGCTTTCTTTGATCGGTAGTTTATTGGAAGCTGCCCATTCGGCAATTTCAGCAATTGAGGAATTCAGGCTCTGCTCTAGCCTAACAATTGAGCTGTAATTCGCACAGGAAGTCAACGTTGTATCGTCGGCGTACAAATCTATCGTAGATTGATTAAAGGTTCTTCATTGGCGTTCGAAACGGTTTGTCATTCAGCCACACTATAGTACAATTAAAATTGTTGGGGAGACCTTGAGTGAGAAGTGGTTCACTGATTTTACTCAATCCCAACATTTCTGCCAACTGCTTTCATATTTGCCACAGGCATCAGCGAATCATTTAATGAGCGAGGATTGTTCCAACATTTTATATACGGGTAGCACGCTACAAGCTGTCAAGCGCTTGAAAAAAATATCTCTTCTCCAGCACACGTCTTACTCGCATTCCAACCAAATTTCCGTTCGCGCCTTCAGGATAATTTTCTAGAATGAGACGCTACTCAGACCACTTACTGGGAGGATTCACATAATAACAAAAGATATCTGAAAAGATACATATCATGCACGATCCTCGCAGTAGATAGCGCTATTTAAGCAATAGCGAAAATCAGACCTGAAAAAAATCAGGCCTGTACGGGATTCGAACCACTGACCTCTGCGATACTAGTGCAGCGCTCTACCAATTGAGCTAACAAGCCAACTGGGAGCAGGCCGTTAAGTTGATTCGTAATAAACCCGTGAAAGTGATAAATGAGATACAATGAAATATATGAAGTTCATATATTTTG